TTTCAGACCTTCTCCTCACTCTGGTCAAATATCAAGGCCAGGGGACGACAACTACATTCCATCACTTCGGCCATCTGCTCATTTGCCACCTTTAATATAAAAGAAAAACCGAATATTTGATGATACATAACCAAATTTGCAAACTACAAATTAGAATAATTGTAACTAAAAGACCTATATATATTCTTCATTAAAAGAAGATTATTTCATGATTTAAACTCCATGTACGTTAATGATGTCCAGAGTCTCTCCACCCAAAATCTATTTTTCCTAAAAAAACTCTTAGACTAATCCCAATATAATCTATCCTAGCAATTTTTCAACGCCAACTGATCCTGATAAGTCACTTTAAAATAGGCTTCAAGTAACGATAAATCAAGCATCTTTGTAAGTTAATAAAAACATAGGAACAATTTTGCTTGTAGAGTGATAAAATTCAAATACTGTTAGCCAAAGCTACAAATATGCATTGCAATTGAGAATATATATATATATATAAACTTTTTAAGTAAATTTCTATTTATCACCCACAAGAATTTATTTGTGGCAAATGATTCCTTTTTTATTCAAGACAAAATCGACATCTAATATTATAAGGTTTTCATATCTATTTAAACACATAGTTATTTTGTATAAAACGATTCGATATAATATTTTTAAACGTTACTAGTTGAAATATTATAGAAAAAAGTTTTGGAGAAGCGACGAATATCAATTTCCTATATTATGACATCAGGACTTCTGTCCCAAAAGTTTAGATTGAATATTAAAGCTTAGCGATTTACGAGTTTGATGTGAAATATGTCACAACTTATATGACAACTACATAGTATTAATAATTTTATAACCTATGAACACAGAATTTCAAATGTGTAGCCTTATAAAACTTTTCATTTTTGTATAAAACAAATATGGGACGAGGTTTACATAAAAATACTTTTTTAAATATGTTATACTGTACTATAAATTACCATATCAATTACATAAGTAGTGAGAGGTAACAGAGATGTTTTGTTTAATATTCCGTATTTAATATTTTAAAGACTTAATTAGTGAGTCTTCTCGTATGAATATAACGAGGTCAGTTCAGCAAGCGGAAGAAATTCTATTGTTTCCCTACGTAAGTGACCCACTTGTTTTTGTAGATGCGTGTTAAAGATTTCACTTTTTTATAATAACAACTTCAAACAAATAAACTGTAAATATTCAGGCCAGTGTTTTGATTTATATCCTTCCGAAATATCGTTATCTTATTACGAAAATTCTTTTAAAAGTAATGTCAAATGTTATTTATTTGAAAATGTTTCAGAAATATATATAAAAATAAACTTCCTATATTAACTTTGCACAAACTATTTTATATATCAATTATAATTTGAAATTTATCCTATTGGAGCATGAAATATCAGCGATATTACTATCGTGATGCCATCACAAAAAATACCTGTTCACTCCATACTTGAAGAACACCATTTCGTATCCCCTTCAGAAAAATACTAAATGCTAAAAGAGATATAAATTTAAGCACTTGGTATTTGCAAGACCTACAGTTAAAAACATACTAAATTTACAAGCGGGTGTATACAAACTCGATGGTGACAGTGGATTGTCATACATTAGACAGACAATGAAAATCATCGGTACAAGGGTTAAATAATACTTCTCGGGCGTCAAAAGTAGGCTTGCGTCGAAGTCACCAGTGTGTGAACATACATTGGACAAACCAATCCACTAAATTCGGTTTAATAAACCACATATCCTCACTCGTGAAGACAGGTATATACAAAGGTTAATCCGTGAGGCCATTGAAATTAAAAAAACACCCCAATTTCAATAGAAAAGATGGCTGGAATCTAGCTAACACCTGGGATCCTTAAAAATATAAAATGCCATGTCCGTGACCACACCGCAGGACCTCGGGACACCGTGAGCGATTCTGCCAGCAACCAGAGCGATACGCCAGAAAATTAAGAAATCGATCGTGGTAGGTGATAAAATAATAAGACCAACTGACAGACATTCAGATCTCGTCTACCCGTGATCACGGCGGCTACCAAGTAGCCGAAACGTCGGGAGTATGTAGTTTTTTATCAATTTAATTTCTTGCCAATTTTATAACACGAATGTTTTATTCTCGGTACAGTCACATCCCTTGTATTGCAGATGTCGTTGGGCAACGGCAATTATCTTCCATCACGTCGGCTATCTGCTCATTTGCAATCTTTGATATTTAAAAAAATCAAGATATTTGATGACATATTCTCTGTAGATCCTAAAAGGCAGTTATCCCTACTAATATTATAAATGCGAAAGTAACTCTGTCTGTCTGTCTGTCTGTCTGTCTGCTACGCTTTCACGCCTAAACCACTGAACTGATTTTAATGAAATTCGGTACAGAGATAGAGTTGACCTTGAGAAAGAACATAGGATAGTTTTTATCCCAGACTTTTGAAAGGTTCTCTTGGAAACGCGATATAACCGAACTCCACGCGGCGAAGCTGCGGGCGGAAAGCTAGTTTATAATAAATCCACTTTTTAAATCGAATAATATGCAATTACAATGTAATATACAAATATATTTTGTAAGATATTTTTGTAATCTCCTTTTATATAAAACATTTAGTTCCAATTAGCTTTTATTAGTAATTAAGGAAAAGAAAACCTCCTATAGAATTTAAGCCATAGTTAACGACGAATGAAATTGTCTTTTGTCTGACACGTGCACTCTAGTATCTTAGAGAAATGATATTGCTATATTTGATCCCGCCAAGGAGTCGTTAAGAGTTTTCAAGAAATTGTTATTATAACATCAGAGGGTATATTGAGCAAACAGGTATAGGATAGAAGTAGTAAATTCTAAATAAACTCCTTAAGATAATATTTCCCTTCACAAACTAATTCATTTATATACACTACATTTTCGTATATGATAATAGCATATATAATGTAATATATTTGTAACCAAACAATTAGAATAACAAGCATTTCTTAGTGAAAATTTCCAGACCTCAATTTTAATGAAGATTATTTGAACATTTTCAACAAAGTTTCATCGTCAAATAAATTACTACGTAGTTAAACGTTCTTATATTAAACACCGTAAGAATATAAAATAATTAATTTACAGAAATAATGAAATAAATGTTATGAATTCTCCATTATTAGCTTTTTTGCTATCGAAAGTTTCAACTATTTATATTAGTTACAATATGCTTTTAATAACTAGATATTAATTATGAATATATGTATGTACGTAGTTAAAAACGTAATATCTCAGGGTCATGCAGAAACTAAAATATCATAGAACATTCTATGTTAAGAATTCAAGAATGTTACCGTCTAAAAAATTCAGACATTATACACACTCTTTTTAATTTTGAAAGCAAAAAATGTTATAAGAAGTGTAGCTTTGAATGTAATATTTTGATTCCATATAACAATCCGTTTTAGTGGACAATGGAAAATTTCATTAAATCTATTTCATGAACCATTTGAGTAACTTTAGAAAACAGGCTTCTGCACAGTAAGAACGTTGTGGTGATCCGACTCACTAATTAAACAGCCAGTGAGAAGACTTTAAAGGTGTATCATAAGCTCTTTAAAATATTAAGTGTTCCTGTAGAGTCAAATAGTTTTATCGATAAAGTTATTTTCGACGAATTTTTTGTTATTTTTTTATAAAGACAATCTTTTTTCAATACTTTAGAGCAAATGTACTGTCGTACATAATTACAATTTCTTACGTTAAAATACGACAAAGACACTTTTACAATAGCTGATAATACATATTAATTAATGTTGTTTTTATTAACAACCAAGTTTTTTGACCTTATTTTTCATGTTTAAAATAAAGAAAAGTTGAAATGAGTGGTTGGTAATTTCGTATAATATCGTGACCTAAGCAGGTAAACAAAAAAACGATTATTGCTCCCTTCACGTCAACTTTCTTAAACTCTTCCATACTTTATTTATGTATATTTAAATTTGTTGTTAAACTGGATTCTGTTTAAAATTAAAATCTATTTTATAATATGTGATAAATTTTTATGAAAGAAAATGAAAATTATACCCCAAAAACATTAATACAATTTTATTTTGAATGAAAGGATATAAAGTACTAAAGTATGTTATAAAGTAATCCTAGGCAGAAAGCATAAGTATTTAAACGTCATCTTAAAAGATATATGACAAAATAAAATTCAATAACAAGCTAAAACACAGCACATGATTTTATTTACTCTTTCATCTTTCTATTCCACTACATTGAACTTTTAAAACTTAATTTTTATATCTTTCCAATTCACTGACGGCTTCTGCTGTTGGAATTTATAGTTAGTATTTTTATAAACTATGCAACCATTAGAGTGCATGGTCTTTACAAGACTTTAAGAAATTAATATTTTTAAATATTTAAGACAAAATAAAATAAAACAATTAAATAAAGATTTTTATTTAGGTTTTCAAAGGAATATCGGTAATTTTTTTTTTTTGGTTCTGTGTTTCAAGCTTCAATCTCCATTCGCGTGGAGATGTGTTAACGCAAATGTATAGAGGGAGGTCCTAAATTAAGGAAATCTTATTACAAAATTCCGACGTGTGTCGTTGCCTAAAAGCCGGTACGAGGGATCCTTGCCGGGCCTAATGAACGTGTTCAAAATTTATAACACCTTCCACCTTTTAGTTACTTTGTGAGAAATAAATTAAACCTCAAATGCGCTTACTGTAATGGTCCGTAATTTTTCCGACACAAATTCCCTTGCGTGCGACGTTTCGTTTATAAAACGCTTTTTAGATACTTGGAATAATGTTTCTGTAACATTTTTGTGACTCTTCAAATCGTTATTCTTAATCTTCACTCGGATATTTATTGGAATTCTCGAATGTTTTGCGGAAACAATTTTCTTGAATTTATTATGCTGTCATAAATAAGGCGTATTTATTAATATTAAAAAGATTGAAATACGGTTATTTTTTGTAAATTATAACAATAAAAAATACTTTTAGAATAAGCCTATAAGAGGTAACAGTAAAAATATGAATAACAGTCCTTGGCCTGTTGCTTTCGAGGCCCCAGAGACGCTTCTAATCCAAGTAGTATAGTTGGATATCCGAGTATAAACTTCTGGAAAAGATGAAACTGAACATCTATCTGATATAGATAAGACACCAGTAAAAGTATTACCACATACAAGTGGATTGCCTAAATCACCCTGAAATAATCAAACAACAATAATTATAGTCTCAAATCTGAATAAAAATAAAGATGATACTTAAAAACGAAAATGACTCACATCGCAGTTAGAAGATCGAAGATCATAGGAAACAGCGCAGATCATTGATGGTAGAATATTTGTCGAGTTTGGTGAAGTATTATAATATAATGTACATAAATTTTGGTTATAGACATATTTAGTCGCGAATCTTAATTCAGCATTCACCTGGAACAGAAAATCGGTTTCATATAGAGATACTTTGGTAGAAACTTTTAAAAGAATCTTATTCTTCCTGGCAATTTCCCAGCTTTTAGCCAGGGTCTGCCTGCCTTATGTTGTGAATAGTTTTGGCTAATTATTTTTACGACCAGCCCTCAACCCTCTTTGGGAATGCATTAATCAGTGATATCTAAATACATACTCTTAGAAATTTCATATGACTCGAAAAAATCTCATTAGTACTTGCCAGGATCGAATCTATGCCCACATGCATGAGAGGCGGGCCTTTTAACCACTAGGCCACCACTGACTTGATAATTAATACAATGAACCATATCTTTCCTTCTTCTAACACTATATAAGATTTTAATGAGATCAATTTTTACATCTTTTATTATTTAAAAATATTATAATGAAAAATTTACCAATTCTGATGAGTTTATTCCGCCCCATCCTGAGACTGAACATAGCGTAAACTCCGGAGGATTGAAGTCAACGGCAGGGAGAGACAGAGGTGTCACAACTTGATTGGGGAATGGGGTTACCAGCTGTAATAAAAAAAATCCTTAGACAAGTGTCATAATTTACAACATAAAGGGGCAGTTCTACATACTTATACTAATTGTACAAAATCCAGTATTAACCAATCATATTTTTTGATACTATAGTCCAAACAGTAATTTGAATTTAAAAAATTAACAATTTAAATTAAATATAATAAACAATATATTACGTTAAAAATTAACTAACTACATAATAACACTTCCTATAATATTTTATATAAACAAAATTGTGCCTTAATTTATATATATAAATATATATAACTTTTTAAGGTTCATTAAACACTAAGGATGTTTTTATTTTCATTGCAACCAGTTACATTCTTGCCCTATTATAACTTCGAAAGATATAAGGAAAAAATAATATAATCTCATAACTTAAAATGGTTCCGGAGCAAAACCAACATTCATTAAAATATTACCATTAATGATTCATGACCTACTTAATTTGTGATAAATATAGATACCGTATAAACATTTCATATAAGCGACAAGGTTTACCAAAATTCCCATATAATTATTAATAGTTACACAATTTTCTTTAAATTATAATCGCATAACCTGTATCAATTAATATGCTAAAATATTCATAGAACCAGACTAGCTTCTCTTAGCAATCTTCTCATAAAATTACTTATAAAATATTGACTACAGTACTTTTTTACGTTTAATATTTAATCTTTGCTCGAGATGCAAGTTGACTCACCAGAGAGTGAAAATTTATTAGTTACATAATATTTTGTCATTACTTCAAACTTTTCTGGGAAGAAAACGCTTAATTTGTTTGTTTTTTTTTTAATTTGTTATATCTTATACTTTTATAAAGCAAAATTTTTATTAAATTTTGTTATAATATTACTTATCTACGTTAATTTTAAGAGTTGAATCAGGAAACTATGACATAAATTCTAAATCTATAAATGAATGTATCTATTATACCTCACCATAGATGAATATATTTATTATGCATTCACCTATGGTAGGTAAACAAGATAACAGCTAATTCTATTATATCTTATGATTAAAATTTTTCATGATTCAATAGAAATATCTTATCTAATTCTATAATTTTCCTTAACAATAAAGAATTATTATTTATCAAAACTCTTTACATATGTCTATTATATGTTCAAAGTCTATTCCAATAAATCTATTAAATCTTAATTAAAAATCAAAGCGGAAAAGATTTTTGTACATCATTTTCCTCCTTAGATTTTTTATTTATATCTTCAAACAAATAAATGAAGTTTAAGTTTCTATAGTGGATAAATAATTTATGATATCTGATATGTTTGGCAAAATTTTATTCATTTAAATTATTATTCTTTTTATTAAAGTTACACAGAGTCATAGTTTTCGTGCATTTGCAAACACGTCTAACTTTATCAGAATGACCTTCACATACGAGTTGCGCGACAATCGATTGGGGTTTATTTTAGTTCAGAAACAATTTGATCATTCATTTATCATTTGTTTTGTGTCACAATGAATTTCAAATATAAAATTCTATGATTAATTTGTTTCTGTGTCATCAATTATAATTTACTAACGTTTAATCTAGTAATTAATAAACTCTATACTTACTGTAATAACGGCAATATTGTTAACTAGAGCTGGTAGGCCAGTGAAGTTTGGATGAACGGTGATGTTGAGCACAGGCCGAACAAAATCGGCACTTACGTCATTATATAAAGAAGTGGAACCAGCAAACACTCTCAGTTCAGTCGAATTTATTAACTGCGGGACACTGAAACAAATAGACGTTTAAGTATTGTAGACAGTCGTCGACACAAGTTAAAGTTTTGTTATCTGTTACGTGTGCTGAGTTTATTAGTACTTAATAAAATCGATTCATTTCCGCATTCTATATGTTTTCGCATTCATATGACTGTATAAGTAAATCCATGAATAAATTTAATGATAATATCCTTATTTGTTACCGTACGCCTTTTGAAGATACTTAAAAAACTATTAATCAGTTTATTTTCTTTTTAAAGCTAAATTCTCCAACTATACATTTTTTATTTAAAATGCTCTTCTATACATTATATTTTTTTCGTTAAAGATAATAAAAAATATATTATAATTAATTTATTATAATAAATAATATGTATGAAATACAATGGGTTTGAATTTGCTTACGTTGAGTTGTAATTAAACATACAAGAAGCTGTTGTAACTGCTTGTCTGTATGAGATAAGGGCTCCGGCACATCTATGTCCTCTAGTTTGGAGATTTTGTGCTGGTCCCAGCGTTTGAAGGGAAACCTGCAATAAAAAAGTAATTAATGAGAGTTTTATGTGTCGCATCATTTCTTGATATATCATTGTGAAGTGTGTTTCTATTTACACTACAATAAAGGTGACACTTAGTTCATAAACAATTATCATCTTCGACCCTGTGATATATGTAATATTTGCGTACTTCCATTAATTACTTTTGTAAACGTCCGAATGGAATATTCTGTGAAAACCCTTTAAATAGCAGTCGAGTAGCATAGAGAAAATCATACGCAGACCAAAATCATAAGCAAGAAATAAATTGTTTTGTTAAAATATTTATTGAAACATCGTAGAATTTGCAGTATATCGTAACATTTTTACATAGTATTAAGAATGGTTCAAATAATATTTCTTATTGAGAACTATACCGACTGAAATAAAGTGTTACTACGAGCTCTAAGTTCATTAATTTACTCTTTAAGATACATTTAATACATACACCAATCTCTACAGACATATCATATGATAATTATGATGACCTTTCTATTTGTACATATTAAGTCATTCAAAAAATATACACCTCCGTTATCCGTTACTGTCCACTGTAATTTTCAGTGGAATAAGGAATTAGAAAAACACGAGACTCTAAAAATAAGTTTACAAATCATATCTCTTTTTGTTGTCCTAAATAAACATGTTGTAAAAACTATAATAGTTTTGTGGTTGTGGGATAAAAACTAAAGTAAATTTAATTACCATATACGGGAATTGGCCTGGAGCAGCCAGCTTTCCATTCGCAATCCTATTGACCGATCCGGATGCCACACCTGCCAATTATATTTTCAATCAATCACGAGACAAACGTACACCATTTATCATTCTATTCATATAATTTTTTATACAATAATGGACAAAATTTTATATGATTATTGAGAAATGAAAACAACTTTACAATAGTTTGTAAGTGTTTAAAATTAGAATTAAAATGCTTCACTTGTTTAAGAGATATCTTCAATTACATCTCTGTGTATAATGATCACAAGAACACTTCCTAAAAAAGTGATAAGAAGATTAAAGAAAACTAATATAAATCATGTTATAAACACACGGGATATTTGTAAAAGGTTCCTTAACACCAATGAAATAAAAAATAAATTTTTTAATATGAGTGAAGAGACGAATAAAATAAAAAAAAACTTATTCACTACATACAAAAAAAATATCATCATAAAATATCTTTTAAACTATCGAATATTTCAACAATGCCGTTAAGTTTCTATTAAGTACACACTGCGCTGTATTCTATTAAAATCCATGTTCTTCTGACATTTCTTATGGTAGTTATTGTTTCCAACTTGTAGTACTATTGACAACTTTATATTTGTACCGACAATTCATTATTTGTATCATAAATTATAAGCAAAGCCCTTACACTTTTAAAATTTATATAAATCAGATAAATATGTACATCAAAATCTACACAATTTTATATTCTTTATATTGTTACGAATAATAAGATAGACAGAAATTGTACTTTTAAGTCACTTTTACAAAAATAACTATGCTATACACACATATGTATGTATATCCCAATATTATAGGATTGTAAATCTTACCACATAGTGCCAACATAAAAATTGAAATATACATTTCTTTTTCAAATCTCATTTTTCAATATACGAAATGAATTCCGTGATAAAATCCTTTCATGCGTTCACTTCACTTTTAACACTTTATATGAATAACTCTTTTTAACAGGAAATCCTTTCATGTTATCAATTCCCTATTAATCACTATTTTGTAATATAAAGATAAAAATGGTAAATGTTCTGATAAAGGCACAACCAATGATAAAGGTGAAGTCAATCCTATTTCCAAAAAAATATTTTTTAGATAAGATTATCGATGTAATCTTTTGGTGGTCAAAAACAAAAAATACATTTTTATATTACAAACATACAATTTAGAATATCTTTCTTATCCCATTTACATTTGATACTACATTTGTAGACTATTTTAGATATCTTAATAAAGATATATAGCTCTCGCCTGATCTAAATATTAGGAAACACGATAAAAGCAATGATATCTACGAAAAAACTGAACCAAAACGATAAAGTAGCAATGATTCTCTGGTTTATATGAAGATTTATTATTTCGTTTAGATCGAAAATTTAGTTTATAAGCGTGCTTTATATTTAAGAATTATTCATATAGATTATATTAAGAATTTATCGAAGGGATTGCATTTCCAAAGTAAGAAATAAAAGTAATAAAATGTAGATATCACTTAAATTTCATTTGAACATGAATTTTGTTATCTACTTTACATTCAAAACACGAACCAGAAAGATTCATTAGTGTAGCCGTATAGATTACAAGTAATCTGTTTAAGAGAAAAGCTATTGAGCTAGCTAAGAAAAACTAAAGAAAAATTTAAACACTCTTTAATGAAAAAGGTATTATTGGAAAGTTATGTGTATAATTTAAAAAAAATAGATTAAAAGTGATTTTTTCGCAGTATTCATTTGAATTAAAATTTTATTTATGAGATATAAAAATGTCTATTGATATTGATAAATAATACATGACTATTTCATGAACAATTATGGTTACAAGACACTTTTATCTGTACACCTAAAGACAAACAGACTTCCTTAATATAAAATGAAATCCTGCTTTTAATGATTACTTAAATATGTATAAAATAATAATTATTAGTCTTTCCTTTTATTTTACCTCATACATTGACAGCGTTTTATACTTTATTACTCTTAAACTAAATCGATTTACAGATGATTCATTTCCCTTCTTAAACATAAATCATGCTTATCACTTCAATTATAACTTTGCTCACTGAAAACTTATTGTCCAGTCTCTAAAACGGTCACTTTAAAATATGTTCCTGGATATATAACTCATAAGGTTTTTTTCTTTTATTTCAAACTATGTTAAAATTTTAAGATTTTAAATAACATTCATAAAAATCAATAATTTTATTTTATCATTAATTACTTAAAATAAAATAAAATAGCTTGTTCCTTTCATATAATTTTCCAGTTTATACTCGTAGAATAATATAAGTGAAAAATTATATAATTGCTTGTAGGCATAAAATAAAAATATCCTTTTGCGAGAAGCTCATAACTGGAAATTTATGAGGCCCACATTAGTGGCAACCTTCAACATAGGTATAATTTATTTTCCGAATTTTCACAGAATTTCTAGTGATAGAAATTTAATATATAAAATTTTCTTTTCTAAGAAAAGATTAATATTTTTATTACAAATAACAAAAATCACAAATATAAAAATTAGAAAACAAAATAAATCCACGTTTTCATTTATATGTAGTAAAAATAAGCACTCCTTTCAATTTATATTTTTTCTCTAAGTTGAATGTGACTTCTTTCTTTTATAACTTTTAACCCCCGACGTAAGAACGACGAGGTGTTAAAAACTTGACGTGTCAGTGTGTATAGGTCTGATTCAACGTAGCTCCCAAACGGATGATCCGATTTTAATGCGGTTTTTTTTATCAAAGGTATATCCGTTGAGAATGTTCTTAGCTACATATGTTTGGTGGAAATCGGATCAGATCTTCAAGGTCACCAAGTCGTTTGTTAGGTATGATAGGAATGTTACACGCACAGTTTGCTTGCAAGCATATGTGGGATCTGACATTTGAAACAGAAATGTCTTCTGGAACCACTAAGCTGGTCTGCTGTTAGGGCTCGAAGATAGGAGACGTAACACTGGACTACCTCTTAGTAAACCCATCGAGTTTAGGCTCATTGAATTTGTCTTTACTGGTTTTCTTCATGGTCTTAATCGGATCGAGGATTTTAATAAATTTTTAATTTATTTTAGTTATATATATTTTATAATAAATGAGTAGTTGTTAAAGGTGCTGCACCGGTAATACCGGTCATAAACAGTTCGTTCTTCCAACGAAGATGCCCATAATGTAAGTGCCATAAAAAGGCAGATACAAACAAACTATTGAAATTATTTGCGCTACCTCCCGCATGCACATATGTATCTGTAAACCCGTGGCTGGGAAATAATTCGGGATGCCCCACATCAAGTTTTGTCCACATAAAGACTACGCAGGCTTGTTCATCAGTAATACGTAACTGTATAACATAGTGGTACACCACAATCAAATTTTTAGCTCTATTATATAACTATCACTGTTCTGGCCAAGCTATGAATTTAGAGCGAAAAGAGAAGGAAAGAACAAAACTGTTTTCTTCTTTAATATATGAGCTAATGCCACATCACATTGATCCAGAGAAGATATCCCGATAGAAGCTAGGCTCGAATTATTTGGATCAGGACTAGAAAACTCTAATACCGAAACGATGAACTCGAATGTTGAGGTAGAAGATTTAGTTCCAGTATAATTAATAATAATAGAGATAAAGCAAAATTTAATGCCCTTTTGAATGTCTGGACTTAACTTGCTAGAGATTCTATTTCGAATCTTTTTGGTTATATGAATAAAAAAACTTAATTTATTATGAAGTTTGTGATAATTGTTTCTTTTGTTAGCATAAAACCACAGAAGTGAACAATTATTTCCCCTTTTCAAATTAACACTTTGTCGAACAAAGAGAATATATAAAATGAGCATAAACATTTAGTATATGTTACTTAATATAAGCAACAATTGCATATACAGTAGATTATTGGAATGTAAAAAGTTTATACTAGAAGCTAATATAATAATATAACTTTATCTTTTTTGATGGAACAAGAAATAAGTATAGTATATCATTCGTTATTGAAATATTAACAACTTATACGTATGTACCTTCTGCATCTAAATGTTACTTTAGCAATTTTTAATAAAGCTTCTTATTCCTTAAACCTATTGAAATAATTGCCACTGATAAAGCAAAATAATTCAGCAATTTTTAACGTTACAATTATCTCTATAACTTGCACGCTTCTTAAGAACTTTTGTACCTGTAATTTTATTTCTCATATAATATGACTAATAGTAGATAAACGGAACAAAAATGCGTCCTCAAATATGTACATACGTCACAGGTGGGTATACAATAAATTGTTCGCAAAGGTATAAAATTACCCGTTGGGTGAAATAAATACTTCCTAGATAAAAGAACGACGATAAAAGTAAATAAACAATGGTATCATATAACTATTAACATTGCAAATAATATCTTCACCGAAATAACTATTAAATATATATATAATAATAATAATATCTATTAGAATTTGAAAACTGTCATCATCGCAAACAAATTTTAATTAATATGTTTATTTTAAACCACTATTAATAGATATCAAATTGAAAAAATAATATATTTATAATCTTAAATATGAATATTTTTAGAGAAGTAGGAAATTAAAATTCGTAACGTAAAAGCAGTAGTAACATTTTATAATTAAAATACGTAGAAATATATGGGTACTGCAAACATTTTTATGATTTGATGATTAATTATATTTTAAGTAAGATGTTTGTATTTGTCTGTACTAACATAACGAACACACTGTGTGATCAAACTTCTTAACTAATAAAGAATTTTATAAACATGTATTCGTTTACGCTTTCGTTTTACAACATTTGCATACGTTATTTTGTCTTTTTTAGAGGTAAAATTTCATAATTTTTGTCGGTAAATAAATCCAGGGATAAAAGTAAAGGGACGTTCAGCAAATATTTCACTTTTGAGATCTCAAACAATTTCGTCAACCGAATAACGGCCCACCATACAGTTCTGCTTAATGTCATAAATATAAAAAGCGTCGGCTATAAAAAAATCTATACTTTCAGTAGTAAAAAAATAAATACATACAATATT